ATATTTTGATATATAGTTTTTTAAGTGTTCATGAGTTTGTGTGTGTCTATATATATACACTGAAGACAAGAGCAACAAGACACAAAATATAAATATAGAACTAGTAACAGCTTCATATATATCCACTGGACGGAATATTTCATTATATGACAAGAAGAAAAGGGAAAATATATGAGAATATATGATTTCGTTTGTGTTCATAAAATTTCGCCTGGAAAATGTGCTGCATGGCTGTCAGGTTTCTTATTTCTATAGTTTAATGTTCGATAAATTTTCGTAATATCTTAGTAGTAAATTTTGATATTAATAAAGTTTATAATTTATACATTCCTTAATGCTACAGGTACGTCAGGTCTTAACCACCGGATTTTGCCGTTTTCTTTTGTTCCGAACACATTTTCCCATTTTCTTTTAACCCAACAGCACACTTTTTCCCCTGTTTTCTTTTGTCCCAACTACATTTTCCCGTTTTCTTAAGCCCAAATCACACTTTTTCCCGTTTTCTTTTGTCCGAAACACTTTTTCCCATTTCCTCTTGTAACTAACACACTTTTTCCCATTTTCTTTAGTCCCAACCACACATTCCCGTTTTCTTCTCGTCCAAATCACACTTGTTCCCCGTTTTCTTTTGACCCAACCTCTCTCTCTCCCTCCCATCCCTCCCATCCCTCCCTCATTCCCTCACTTCCTCCCTCACTCCCTCCCTCCCTCACTCCCTCACTCCCCTCATCCCTTTGATCTTCTGCAGGAGCAACCGATCGGCGGGAACGACCACCCCTTCCTCATTCTTCGGGAGACCTCCGCGCCTCTCGATGACTTCGATGGCGTAGTAGCCGGCGATCCCGAAGACCAAGGAGATGATGAGGTTGATCGTCTTCAGGTCGACGCAGGTGGTCGTGCTCCCGACGTAGGCGAAGATGAAGCCCAGGCTCTCCCACAGGCGGTAGTTGCTGAAGGCGGCCTCGGATTCGCCGGGGAAGATCACGCCGTAGAAAGCTGCAGGAGAGGGAGGAGGCGTTCGGGTTGTTAAAAAAAGGAGATAGAGGGATGGAAACGAAGGTAGGAATAGATAAAAACATGAATAACTAATAGAAATGAAGGTACAAATAGATAGGAAAACATGATTAACTAATGGAAATGAAGGTACGAATAGGTAAAAATATGAATAACTAATGGAAATGAAAGTACGAATAGATAAGAAAACATGAATAACTAATGGAAATGAAGGTACGAATAGATAAAAAAACATGAATAACTAATGAAAATGAAGGTACGAATGGATAAGAAAAATATGAATAACTGCTGGAAATGAAGGTACGAATAGATAGGAAAAACATGAATAACTAATGAAAATGAAGGTACGAATAGATAAAAACATGAATGACTAATAGAAATGAAAGTACGAATAGATAAGAAAACGTGAATAACTAATGGAAATGAAGGTACGAATAGATAAAAAAAAAAACATGAATAACTAATGGGAATGAATGAATAGATGTATAAAAATAGGTAAAAATATGTATAATGGGAAATAAATGAATGAAGGGATATATAAATAAAGGAAAATGAATACAAGTGGATGCATGAGTAGATAGTTGAATAAAAATAAATATATGTGAATGCATGGAGAGAGAGAGAGAGAGAGAGAGAGAGAGAGAGAGAGAGAGAGAGAGAGAGAGAGAGAGAGAGAGAGAGAGAGAGAGAGAGAGAGAGAGAGAGAGAGAGAGAGAGAGAGAGAGAGAGAGAGAGAGAGAGAGAGAGAGAGAGAGAGAGAGAGAGAGAGAGAGAGAGAGAGAGAGAGAGAGAGAGAGAGAGAGAGAGAGAGAGAGAGAGAGAGAGAGAGAGAGAGAGAGAGAGAGAGAGAGAGAGAGAGAGAGAGAGAGAGAGAGAGAGAGAGAGAGAGAGAGAGAGAGAGAGAGAGAGAGAGAGAGAGAGAGAGAGAGAGAGAGAGAGAGAGAGAGAGAGAGAGAGAGAGAGAGAGAGAGAGAGAGAGAGAGAGAGAGAGAGAGAGAGAGAGAGAGAGAGAGAGAGAGAGAGAGAGAGAGAGAGAGAGAGAGAGAGAGAGAGAGAGAGAGAGAGAGAGAGAGAGAGAGAGAGAGAGAGAGAGAGAGAGAGAGAGAGAGAGAGAGAGAGAGAGAGAGAGAGAGAGAGAGAGAGAGAGAGAGAGAGAGAGAGAGAGAGAGAGAGAGAGAGAGAGAGAGAGAGAGAGAGAGAGAGAGAGAGAGAGAGAGAGAGAGAGAGAGAGAGAGAGAGAGAGAGAGAGAGAGAGAGAGAGAGAGAGAGAGAGAGAGAGAGAGAGAGAGAGAGAGAGAGAGAGAGAGAGAGAGAGAGAGAGAGAGAGAGAGAGAGAGAGAGAGAGAGAGAGAGAGAGAGAGAGAGAGAGAGAGAGAGAGAGAGAGAGAGAGAGAGAGAGAGAGAGAGAGAGAGAGAGAGAGAGAGAGAGAGAGAGAGAGAGAGAGAGAGAGAGAGAGAGAGAGAGAGAGAGAGAGAGAGAGAGAGAGAGAGAGAGAGAGAGAGAGAGAGAGAGAGAGAGAGAGAGAGAGAGAGAGAGAGAGAGAGAGAGAGAGAGAGAGAGAGAGAGAGAGAGAGAGAGAGAGAGAGAGAGAGAGAGAGAGAGAGAGAGAGAGAGAGAGAGAGAGAGAGAGAGAGAGAGAGAGAGAGAGAGAGAGAGAGAGAGAGAGAGAGAGAGAGAGAGAGAGAGAGAGAGAGAGAGAGAGAGAGAGAGAGAGAGAGAGAGAGAGAGAGAGAGAGAGAGAGAGAGAGAGAGAGAGAGAGAGAGAGAGAGAGAGAGAGAGAGAGAGAGAGAGAGAGAGAGAGAGAGAGAGAGAGAGAGAGAGAGAGAGAGAGAGAGAGAGAGAGAGAGAGAGAGAGAGAGAGAGAGAGAGAGAGAGAGAGAGAGAGAGAGAGAGAGAGAGAGAGAGAGAGAGAGAGAGAGAGAGAGAGAGAGAGAGAGAGAGAGAGAGAGAGAGAGAGAGAGAGAGAGAGAGAGAGAGAGAGAGAGAGAGAGAGAGAGAGAGAGAGAGAGAGAGAGAGAGAGAGAGAGAGAGAGAGAGAGAGAGAGAGAGAGAGAGAGAGAGAGAGAGAGAGAGAGAGAGAGAGAGAGAGAGAGAGAGAGAGAGAGAGAGAGAGAGAGAGAGAGAGAGAGAGAGAGAGAGAGAGAGAGAGAGAGAGAGAGAGAGAGAGAGAGAGAGAGAGAGAGAGAGAGAGAGAGAGAGAGAGAGAGAGAGAGAGAGAGAGAGAGAGAGAGAGAGAGAGAGAGAGAGAGAGAGAGAGAGAGAGAGAGAGAGAGAGAGATAGATAGGAAAAACATGAATAACTAATGGAAATGAAGGTACGAATAGATAGGAAAAACATGAATAACTAATGGAAATGAAGGTACGAATAGGTAAAAATATGAATAACTAATGGAAATGAAAGTACGAATAGATAAGAAAACATGAATAACTAATGGGAATGAATGAATAGATGTATAAAAATAGGTAAAAATATGAATAATGAGAAATAAATGAATGAAGGGATATATAAATAAAGGAAAATGAATACTAGTGGATGCATGAGAAGATAGATGAATAAAAATAAATATATGTGAATGCATGAGTAGATAGATGAATAATAAAAAAATCAGAGAATGCATAAATGGATAAAGAAATCAACAGAAATGGATAAATGAATGAATGAAGAGCTAAATGAATATATAAAAGAAGAGTAAATTATGAATTGATAAATAAGCTAATAAATTAAAGTAAAAAATAAATCGTGAATTTTCGGTGATTGTTTAGAATACAATGTAACTTTATTATTAAAAATATTATTGTTGTTGTTATGAGTATTATTTCTATTATTATCTTCTTTTCTGTCTAAATAGATGAATGCAGAAGTATAGAAAATAGCATTCTTTTTTTTTCAAATTTCACTTACTATTTATTTATAAGGATAATAAAAATAATCTTCAATTCAACCATAAAACCTAAAAACTCTAAAAAGATTTATGTATTACTATTATTTCACCAAATCCATTTATTACTAACGTAAATTTGAGTAATTTCCTGAACCGATTTTTTCTTAAGATATGACTGTAAAAAATATTGTACAAAATATAAATAGTACCTTGCCTTAATCACTTCTATTTACTACGTTATAAGTTATTTGTGAAAACTTACTGATGCTAAAGATATATATATATATATATAATAAGAATCGGTATTTTTCAAAACCAATGAAAATAAAACTTGAGTCTTATCACCTCTGCTTAAATCTGGCGATAACCTATTTACACATACGAAGTGTTATGAAAAATATCTAAAACAACAAAAATAAAAATAAAATATAAATTACAATAAAGTTATTGTGTGCTGTACCCATTCTTGGCTTTCTTGCCGCCGGTCTTAACTTGGGGTGTTATAAAAGACGGGTGGGAGGGAGGGAGGTAGTGGGTGGAAGGAGAGGGGGAGAGGGGGAGAGGGGGGAGAGGGAAGGAGGGAGGGAGGGAAGGAGGGAGTGGGAGGAAGGAGAGGGGGAGAGGGGAGAGGGAGGGAGGGGAGTGGGGAGGGAGGGAGGAGAGAGAGAGAAGGAGAGAGAGAGAGAGAGAGAGAGAGAGAGAGAGAGAGAGAGAGAGGAGGGGGGAAGGAGGAGAGGAGAGAGAGAGGAGGGGAAAGGGGGAGAGGAGAGAGAGAGAGAGAGAGAGAGAGAGAGAGAGAGAGAGAGAGAGAGAGAGAGAGAGAGAGAGAGAGAGAGAGAGAGAGAGAGAGAGAGAGAGAGAGAGAGAGAGAGAGAGAGAGGAGAGAGAGAGAGGGAGAGAGAGAGGAGAGAGAGGAGAGAGGGAGAGAGGGAGAGAGAGAGAGAGAGAGAAAATTATAAATGAGAAACATACTTACGTGATGGATTTTCACCCACACTCACACACAAAAAAGTTTATTTACGCAAGCCAACTCCCTTCTTTCCTTCCTGATGACTCTCTGTACAAATACACAAATACTTGCTTGTTACCTCAAAGAAGAGAAAAAAAGGAGAGAGAGATTTCTCTTCTTCTTTTTTAAACTTGGTTCTTCTTGTGGTTTCCCTTCTTCCTCTCCCAGATTTCGATGGCATAGAACCCAAGCATTCCGACCACGAGGATGCAAGCACCAAAGTAAAGCTTGGTCATCATACAAGAATACGTGGTGACTAGATAGCCGAGGATGTATCCAAGACTCTCCCAGAGCCGATAGTTACTGAAGGCAGCTTCTGAGCTATCGGTGAAGAGGACGCCGTAGAGAGCTAGAAGAGTTAGTGGGGGGGAAAAGGGGGAAAGAGGGAAAAAGTTGTGAGATTTATTGGGCTAGGAGATCAAGTCTCGGTGCTTTTTTTTCCCAGGCAGAACGTAAAGCCTTCGTACCATGGAAGGTGGAGTGAGGAAGGGAAAGTGTGGGTGGTTTATATGGGAATTCTCGTGACGCTATTATAGTAGTGCTGATGATCAACAGATGGCGCTAAGTGAAGCAAAGGACAGTGGTTTCTACATTGATTCAAAGCGTAATGGCCAGCGGACACTGGCGCCATCTGTTGGTATTGTGCAACACTAAAAATAAAGCTTAGGGGCATATTCCTTAGGGAGTCAATTAATTATTATTCTCTCCTATCTCCATCTTCCTTGCTTGGTCCTTCACCGAGGTAAATACAAAAGAACTACAAGAAAAAAGTACCTTAAACCAATAAAAGGTATATGACAAGTAGATACATATAATATATACAAGAGAGAAGTAGAAATGATGAGTCTTTGAGCTATTAAGAACTATGAAAATGGTCCCAAAACCAAGATATTTGAATTACCAGATTTGAATATATACAGTTTGAGAGGAAATTTGGAAAAAAGTATAAATATACATTTGGAGATAAAAATGAAGACTAAAGCCAAAAGTTCCTTCAGAGAATGGTAAGTCTAAATAAAGATTTTTTTTTTTAGTTTCCCATAGGATAAAATATTCCAGAGAAGCTATAGAAAAAGAGATCTATTCTCGTTGCCAAAATAGAAAGCGAGGCAACAAAAAGGTAATGTTTGTTGAGAATTGAAGGTGAGAAAAGTATAATACAAACTACCATTCGTACTAAAAAAAGATAAAAAGCTAACCAATCCTGAAATCAATCTATATACAGTTTCTATAAAATCCCACCTGATGATATTAAAGAAAGAAAAACTAAATAGAAGCATCCATACCAGCGCCTCTATATACACATGTACAACTATTTACAACAAAAAATTACCTATCAACCATTTATCCAGTACATACCATTGATTTGCGTCTGCCACACAGCATCGGACACGCCCCACAAAGCTGCCATGGCGAAGAACACTAGGAAGTCATCAGGGTGAGGCATCCAATAGCGAAGAGTGATAATGATAGCGAAATTAATAATGGCGCCCATGCTGAAGACTCTCACACGCCCTATCATCTTGACGAGCGGGCTGAAGCTCACGGAGCAGATAGCGTCGCAAACCCCATAGCAGATCATGACGTAGCCGACCATGTGGACACCCAGGCCGCAGGAGACGTAGGCCTGTGGGTGGGGATGAAGGGGAGAAAATGAAATTAAAAAAAGAAACATGAGATATTTGGAAATAAGGAAAGGGAAATGTTGACTTACTATCTATTGAGATGTGTTAAAAGTATATAGATTCACTTTTAATAATTATTCGAAGTTAGAAGTGCACAGGTTCGCGTCTAATCACACACACACACACATACACACACACACACACATACACACACACACACACACACACAGACTGCATATCATATTTACATTCCCTAATGATATACACATACTGAAAACTTATCCAACCATTTTACTGACTTAAAAAAAAAGAAAACAAGAACAAACAATACTACTACTACTACTACAACAACTACTACTACTAATAAAGAAATAATAATAGTAATAATTATAGTAACACTAAATAAAAATAATGATAATAATATAACAATAACAGTAGAAATAATAATAACAGCAATAGTAACAGTCATAGTAACAGCAAAAGTGATAATGAAATACATCAGATTACAGAAAAACAAACAAACAAAAATAAATAATAATAAAAAAATAATAGGACTAAAAACTCACAGCAGTGTAGTCAGCGCCGATGAAGGCCTGTTCGACACCCGACCAGACGGTGAGGGGAATGATCAGCAATTGGTACGGATGGCGCATGTGGCTGAAGGTGGCGATCAGGAGTTCCAGGCCGCTTTTGCCTGTCGAGGAACCCACGCGGTCATCTTCACCGTATCTGGAGGAGGAAAGAGAGGTGAGGTGTAGGCCTATCCACACTTGGTAGATACTGAAGTTAGGGAGATGTAGACCTATACACACTTGGTAGAGAATAAAGGAAGGGGGATGTAGGCCTA